TTACTTGCGGCAATTTTTATCGTTCTCTTTTGAACTTGCTTCATTCGTCTATACAAGTTGTCTGTTCCCGTACTGCAAGAATCTACTAGATTTTACTATTTTCTTCGATAACATAAAGGAAATTTCGTTATCGTAGTAAAAAGTAGTGCGGGAACAGACCGAAGGCTAGTCGAGTTCAAAAATATTTTTTTTACATTTTGTGACAATGTTCTGGATTGGTATTTCAAATTACTGACACTACAAACAAAATACACAAAACGAATAGAAAGAAAATTGCCGGTACGAGCATTTTTTTTTTTCAATTTCTATTCCCCTTGCCCCTCTCTCCTTCAAACAAAGACTTGCCGCAATTAAACTCGTCTAATATAAACTGGGACTTTAATAAGTCTTGATTTAGATTAGGCGAGTATACTTGCGGCAAGTCTTTGTTTGTAGGAGAGAGGGGCAAGGGAAATAGAAATGAAAAAAAATTGCTCGTACCGACAATTTTCTGGCAATTCGTTTTGTGTATTTCGTATTTGTTGACATTAGGTGTGTCTGGTTACTTTCCCTGCAGGAATTGTCCAGTAACTTCTTTCTGAGAGAGTAAGGTAGTTTTATTCTCTTTTGCAAGAAAAATGCGAAAAGTAAACAGACGGCATCCCTGCAGAAGCTTGCAACTAATCAGCTGATTTGTCAAAACAAACCAATTTGTCCGCCATTATAAAGAATTAAAAGAAAGAAAACACAACCAGTTTAACAAAAACAAAAACAATTAGTCTTGCTAATTCCAAAAAAAATTATTTTCAAATTGAAAGCACAAAAATAAATAAACAAACAATAGAAAACATCTGATTGAATGTCGATGTATGAGAAGAAGAAGAGTTGCAAGAGATTGCAAGAAGAAATTTTTCCAGCAAGAATTTGCAAACTCTCACTGAAAGAACTGTCAAAATTTCTCTCTCCAACCGCTCTCTTTTGCAGAACTTTTGGGTTAACAGACGACTTCCAGTAACAATTTGTAACAATTGTTACAAACTTTAGGGTAACCAGACACACCTATTTTATATAGATTTAAATGTGAAAAAACAAGAAATAGAAAAATATTTTGGAAACCGAATTGCCTTGTATAAACGCATGAAGCAAGTTCAAAAGAGAACGACAAGAATTGCCGCTAGTAAACTCGTCTAATCTAAATCAAGACTAATAAGAAATCGAAAAGAGAGAGTAATGCCATGTTCTGACGGGCATTCGAACAACGTAGTTCGGTCTCAGAATTACTTACATGAATTAACCCGTTCATACAACACTATTCTTAATTCATGTCATCAGAGTTTTTTATTTCAAACTTTTTGTTTCTTGTTTTACACCAAAATTATAACGTATTTGCGTGAATCATATATGGATCTAAATAGAAAAAATTATTCTCTTTCTCCTGACTATAGTATGAACCCATATCTATTTACTTTTAATTCATGTTTTCCATTTTTTCTGAAAGTATTGTTGTTTTGAGTATATTTTCATTTTTTCTCAATTCAAATGTCACATAAAAATATTGGGTTTCCCCACGTTGGTTTCTCGTTTTGTACGCTAATTAGAACCAAAGGGAAAGAAATACATATAGCATTATGTAGATTACAAAATTTTCTTCCTTCTGCATACATACATATATAAAAACTAGAAAATTTTTTACTTTTCAGATTTCAAACAATCGAACAAATGTTGAGAGTTTTGATGCACAATTTATACAAAATCGAAAGAAAATATATATGGGAGCTATATCTATTCTGAACCGATTTTCTCCAATTGAAATAGGGTTCTTCCTTGAACCAAATATGTGAGCTATGCCACATTTTATCCAAATCGGATCATAAATTCTACCTACACTTTGTTCACAAAAATACATAGACAGACGGTCGAACAGAGGTGCTAACATAAATCGACTTGTGTCTATCTCATACCATGAAAGGCAAATATATCCAATATATCCAAATATAACGTTGACACAATATTCAGATGTGTGTGAAATGTTCATATTGGCGAATGAAAACTTCTTGCCTGTATTTGCTGCAAATAGTAAGGGTCTTAACACCGCACTCTTCTTCGAGCTCTCTCGCAAACGTCCTTATGGATATCGGAGGGTTTTGCATAATTTTTCCAATTAGCACTCTGTACGCTAAATAATTTTTGGTTTCAGTAGAGCCAATAAAATGTTATATATTTTACATCTGAAGACTTTGAGCTTTACACCAGTAACATTTTATAAAATTGTGGGTCAAGGTTTACAAATGCCACAAGGTCAAAGTGAATATTTCATATTTTGGTAACCATAATTTACATTTGAAAAATGTTATGAAAGACGATGTCAATTAAAGAGATGGAACTGATGATACTAATGAAGTGTAAATGATAAAATAAAAAATATAACCGTTAATAAACTTAAGAGTTATTGTCGATATAAAAAATAGTCGCTACAAATTGTGTTCAAAAATTTAATAAAAAATGTTAAATTGACGTTTGAATATTGTCTCATTTTCAACCAAATTAGCAGTAATTTGCGATTTTCATTGTGTAGCACATATTCTTACCAAAAATTATCAATTTGGTCCACTATTTTGGGTCGACTCTATGTAACAGTAACCCTGTAATGTTTTTTTTTTTTTAGATTTTGTGCACGTGTCCTTTAACTATTATTTTGAATTCTCATTGGGTGTGAAATATTCGTACCGAAAACTATGAATATTGAGTCACAATTACTTGGTAGTTTGCGGATTTTGAGCACGGTTTTCAACAAAATCGGCTATAATTCAAATTTAATAAAGCCATAGTTTTAAAACCATAACACATAAAAATAGGTAGGGGAAAAAGAAATCCATTATTTTTCTCCGATTTTATCTATATATGGGCAATATTGCCAATTTTTTAAAATAGGTGAAGCCGAGGTTCACCCCTTTATAATTTGGGAATTACTTAAGTATATGAAAAACAGTGAATAGTTTTAGGTTTATTGATCTGTTGTTGCAAACTTTTCATTATACTGTCCTCCATTGTTAATGTGAAAAATGCGTAAAAACAGGTTGATGCGAACCAGTTTTTTATGTTCTCTATCGATTTTTTACTATGCCACTCATTTCACGGTCTTTGTGTCAATGTAAAACCAGAAGCCTACAAAATGGGGACAATGTCGCCTTTGTATCATTTTTAAAAATTTTAACTGCATCTACCTTTAAATGATCCTGACATTTTGAAGCTCGATTTTGAGTGTTTTTTGAGTTTTTCTTCTAAATTTAATGCGCAAACAGGTATTTCTAAAAATCGATTATAAAATTATTGTAGTCGCAAATCTTAGTAATTTGATATATATATTTTGTGTATGTAGTATGCACAGCTGTAGAGTAATAAAAAATTTGTGCGATCTAATTTCTAAAATACCAATTTTTCGGGCCAAATTTTTAGATCTGTCAACTGAATGATAAAATAAAAATCTTCTTGGTGAAAATCCATCTACTAGAACGGCGGGAACTGGCTTTCCAAAAACACGAAATTTGCTAAAAATAGTTTTTGAAAATATCGCGGATTTATTTGCGTTTTCTGTGGATAATTTCCGTTTCAATAAATGACCTGTTACGGATTTTGCACTTTTGCGAAAAGAGAGCATTAAAATCTTCAGCCGAAAGCGAGATGAAGCCAATTTATATCAAAAATAGGTTCTTTATGGACCATATTGAAATAGGTATAGATCAATGCAACATGTAGGTCATCTTAGTGGTCATATGAAATTTCGCGAAAATGGATTGGAAGATAAATTTCAGTTATTTGAGGATTATACGATTTAGACGCAATTTAAAATGTATGTTTCCTAACATAGTGTTTTTTTAAGATATATTCCTATTTATAGAACCCCAAGATTTATCGGAAAGGTCTTCCTATAATCCGCAAAATGTTTACTTATACTCTAGAAGTGGTTATTTTTATATATGTCAATTTTTCGGCGAAATTCGGGTAAAATAGAAGAATTACACTAATTTGAAATTTCTGCTTCAAAAATAAATATGATAACATTATTTCTTCGAACCAAAAACAAATAATTTTCTTCAATATCTAGTTTTGTTTTCGCTGTAATTTACAAACCTTTACACAGATTTGTATGATTTTGATGTGATTTGATTTATCGTGGTGTTTAGAATATGTAGAATCTACGAAACCAAAATTGCACATAATTGGCTGTTCCAATATCGGAACCATAAACGCCATTCACAATTTTAGCCGTTTGGATTGTATTTTCGCCTTTGTCAAAGAAAAACTGTAAAATGTACCGAATTTTTTATTTTTATTATTTATTATCATTATTTATTTTATTTTTTTACTACGAAATGTCACCCTTCCAAACGAGCGTAAATCTGACATTGTTCGATCGATACTTTACGATAATGGATTTATTTTTCCCAAACCTAATATTTTATTTAAGTCTTATATTTAATCCGCCATTTAGGATTCTTTTTCAAAATCTGATTTCACATTTGTAATCTTTGACCATAGCTCTACAAAATGTGCTCAAAACTAATTATATAATTTCAACCTTTAAAAAATTTGACCGCCGTTTTATCGTAATCTGCGTCCTCGAAACCCTGCTCTAATTTTAGCCAAAAAGTGGGATCTCTGCCCCACAGTACCACGCCTTCATTTGAAAAAGAAAAAAAAACTGTCTCTCTGGTAGAAGAATAGTGTTGGCCAACAGATGCTACTATGGTCTGAGTAAGCAATTCAGAAACAAGGCCAAAATTCTCCGAAAGATTTATAGGATGATCTGTATCGAAGTTAAACTACATTTATTTTTATCCTATCTTTTTATATTTATTTTTATTTTCAATGACTAAAAAATAAATTAACACAAAAAAAAAAGAAATATGTTGTGTACGTATTATGCATTTAAGATGCTAAACAAACAAAAAATAAACACAAATTATTATCAATTATAGATGCCTTCTCGCTGCAGTCCATTTATTTGAAGTGTTCTCTTCTTATTTTTTATATTTTTCAATAGTGGCCAATAGTTCATCGGCTTCTTCGCCGGTCTTGACACGCAACAGCATTGGTGTTGGCTTCTCAACCTCTGGCGTAGGTATACAGACCATCATAACATTATTCTTGCCCATACGTTGGGCCGGAATGGCAGAACTAAGTATCAAATTGACCAAAATATTGCCCAGATTTGTGTCGGCCCGCACAATCAATTGGGTCTTCTCACTTGACTCGATGGGCTTTAGATAGAGTGTGCCAACACCTTTGTCGGCGAAATTGCCATCTTTCTTAACGAAAACTTTACATTTCTTCGAGTACACGGCATCTTCTTCAACGACCTGTTTGAACTCGTTTTTAGGTGGCTCTTCGTCTTCTTCGTCGTTTTCAGTCTTCGATGGCGCAGCCGCTTCTGGGGGCTTGATGTTGCCAAAACTGAATGGAGTACCGCCAGGGGTAAATGAAAATGGTTTGGGTGCTGCATCACCACTATCTGATGCTGAGGCTGGTTTACCGAATGTAAACGAAGGTGCAGCAGCTGTCGTTGAGGTAGTTGTGGTGGATGATGAGGATGTGGTACTGGCTTTAAGACCAAACGAGAAACCAGTTGTTGCTGCTGGGGTGGTGGTCTTAGCATCTGTGGTATCCTCTGGTTTCTTCAAGCCAAAACTGAAACCATTAGTCTTTGTGGCCGCTGTATCCCCAGCAGTTGAGGTCGTTGTGGCACTGGATGAAAAGGAAAATAAGGGTGTTGTTGTGGCAGTAGAACTTTTGGCCGTGGAAGTTTCGGAAAACTTGAAAGTTCCAATACCTGCCGTCGATGACGTTTTCTTTTCATCACTGGTTGTAGATGAACTGGAACTTTTATCTCCTCCCTTTTTCTTTTCTTCTTCGATTTCAGCCAAATATTTTTCGTAGTCTTTAAAAATTGGAGTCAATATACACAGGGGATTTTTATCCACATGAGTTTTAATCCATTCGCTGACTGCCTGATTAAGTCCTTTCAATTTGGCATAGTATTCATCGGATGATTTCTCCGTGGTTTTTGCGTCACTTTTATCTTCTTTGGCACTATCTGTTGTTGTTGTCGTTGTAGCTGATGATCCAAACGAGAACGTGGTTGCAGCTGGCTTGGTCGCCTCACTTGTTGCAGTACTACTGGACGACGAAGCGGGAGTGGCCGATGATATTTTGGACAAAAACGAAAATGGTGAGGCTCCCGTAGAGGATGTGGTAGCTGCAGCGGCCGGCTTACCAAAACCAGAGAAACCGCTGAAAACACTCTTTGTGCCCGAATCAGCAGAATCGGTGGTGCCGGCTACTCTTCGTCTGGCGGCTTTTTTGATAACACGATTTTTCAATTCTTGCTCATCGGCTGTCTTGAATGTTCCACGTTCTTCAGGCTCGTCCTCACGATCCCAGTTGTCGTGATTTAAATCTGAGGTAGCTTGCCTCTTACCAGCCATAATGTGCAAAAAATTTTACAAAATAAAAAAATACTCTCTAATCTGCCTTGCCTTACGCTTTAGCAACAAACGCGTGATTTTTGAGAGGAGTTTATTCTTTGATTGGCGTGCTTTCGTTCCTTTTAATTACAATGCCGTTTCTTAAAATTTTAACGGCGTTGCGGTATTGGACGAAATAGCTTTAAAACGTAACTGATAAAGCTAGAATCAAAACAAACAAAGATTAATATTAGTGTATCTTAGGTCAAAAATCGGACAAATCGGGGAATCAAAACAAATGAAGGAATTAGGTTTCAGCTGTTCTGGCACCGACGGAAGAAAAATTTAAAAGCGTTCCATCGAATGGGTGGAGAAGACAAAATGAAGGAAAGTTTACGATTGAGGTGGGATTGGGAGAGAACCGTGTATTGTTTACAACACATACACTCACAGCAGCTGCACTCAGAGAACCGAGCCAAATTGAAATGTTATTGCGTGTATATTCACGTAGTCGGTAAAAGTCAAAAATCGACTTTAAAGTCTAAAAGTCGACTTTTAAGTCGGAGGCTAAAATGGAAAAGTCGCTTTTTTGGTCTCTCGACTACGTATCCTCTATCTGCAATATGCCTTCACCTCAACAAGCAGACATCCAAACGTGTGGCACCTTTCAAAGTTGTATTCTAAACAGCACAAATTTTGAATTTTATGAATGGCGAATTAAAAAAGGAACTGTTGTAGTAGAAATGAAAGGAATTAATACAAATATTGATTAATTAATTGAAAAATACAATAATTTGTTATATGTTCTATTATTTTAAATTTGATGCTAAGTAAAACATTAATTTGAATTGTTTTTAGAAAATATCATTTTCAACGTCTTTAATTTTTTTTTAAACAGTAACTTTGAGTTTATCTATGGGGACACGCAGTGTAAATGCTATTAAAGTCAAAAGCGTTCCCTAGTATATCACCCTGTTTCGATTAAACACAGGGTGGTTATTATATATGAGTGAAATAGCCCTTGGCCTGTTCCAGTCCTTTTTTATAGTAATGCTAGTAAAAGGGAAACATTTCAAAATCGCTCTCAGAGTACAAAATAATTTGAAAAGTTCGGGAACGCAAACCTAGTAAATATGCCAAAATTAGATTAGGAAATACTTAAAAATCGTGGATACAGGTACGCTTTTGGAGCAAAAAGTTGCAAAACTTGTAAAATTAGCAGATTAAGTTCAGGAACCAAACTATAATTATCTATTTAAATTTTGCATGGTGCAATTATTAAGGTAAAAGGCATATACCAGAACTTTTTACCGGGTTAACCTACTTTATAAGGATATATTTGACATATATGCAAAGGAATTGACAAATGAAACCCACTGGGTTAACGAAATCCGGTTAAATGTAAACGTACTATAACAGCAAAACCCAGCTCATTTGATTCCAACGTAATATTCTTGTCAGTATAAATATGACAAATTATATTTTTAAAAATGACCCAACAGAAAAATTGGTTGTGCATAAAATTCGAAATTGTTTTTTGTTAAATGTCCTCTCGTATTCAATTTACTCAAAGTGCCTGCATGGTATAATTACTATACGGTAGGGCATAGATTAAACTTATTACATTTTTTAAGGTGGCTTGTTCAATCATATCAAATGCATATTTTGTGTATGTATGTGTATTGTTTTGAATACTATGACAAATAAATTTAAATATATTCTAATTTAATTGAAATGAAAATTATGTTTTTAACTCGACCGTCTGGAAGTAATTACTTTGTTGTGGATGAAACAAATATTTCATGGTATTCCCTACTGGATTTTGGAATGAAATCATAACCTTTCATTCATTTTTCACGTTTTTCGTTATGTGTTGAAAAAATGTCAAATAAACACAACCACTTGTTGCGTATATTTATTTTATATTTGACAGAAGAAGCCACCACCCACATAGTTGCTTTTTTTGTTATTCAACTCTAGCTGCCCTACCTTACATTATTGTAACATGAGTGACTGCTTGGAAAGCATGGCATAATTACTTTTAATTTGGAACTCACCTATCAATTTCAAATTGTTTGACAAATAAATTCCATAAAATCAGTAGTGTTGGCGGTTTATTTGGGATACCATTTGTATAAAATGTTGTTTTTATAAAAAACAACTATTTATTAGCATTGTTTGCCGAGGGGTAAGGCAGGGAAGACTATTTTCGGATCACGCCACTGATCCTCATCAGTTCCCTTAGTTTTTTGTTGGGATATTCTCCCCAGAAGCTATTGCTTCTATACAAAAAACCTTTCATACCCAAATGTCTCTTGTAACAAAGCGAAGTACTTAGCTGACAACGGCATAAACTGCATGAGAATTTCGCTGGAGCCTCACTTCGAGGTTAACAAGACATTTACAAACAATACCATACATTCCCCACTAATAAATAGTTGCTTTTTATAAAAACAACAAACTGGGATTCAGCCTGACTATTTTGCAAAAACAATTCCATAAAATGTTATGCATTTTTGTTTTTAAATTTTTGTATTATAATAATAATTTTTAATAACAATTTCTCCTTTTGATATGTATTTAATGTTTTTTGAGTATTATAATAATATAATAAATTTTATTTTTGCATTTAATGCCTGATGAATGACGGCATGAAATGTCATACAAGTAAAAATTATAGGTTGTACTCCGCATATAATTTCTATTACAAATTTTATTTATTTCCTTATTTTGATCAAATACCTCTGATATCCCCAGATATACAAAAAATAAACAATGATGTGGCATCTCTCTACACCGCCGTTGTTTACATAGAACACAAATGGGCGCCCGCTCAATACCACTTGGACGCCGGTAATTTTAGCGACAGCAACGCCGCCGCTGCCTGTGATTTTAGTATAGCTCGGTTCTCTGCCACATTCACATTCTAAAGAAAAAGGAAGGAAATAATGGAGAATAAATGTATAATTTTAAATAAAATTTAATAAGGAAAATAATAAAATCTATAAAATCAGTGAAGAAATAAATCAAATAAGAAAATGTGGTAAACATAAATCGCTATTTAACAAATAGAAAAGAGCAACGAAAATTAGTTCCCTACGATTGTAAAGTGGTTTTCCGACAAAAAAGTGTAAAGAAACAACAGAGAATGAATGCAAACAGCTAAAAAGGAAAATATTAATAAATATATTACGAAAATATGCTGTAGTGTCGCGTTTAGCGGTGTGAAATTGAGTACAGTGAGTGTGTTTGGCGTTCTATTGTCTTATGTTTTTATATTGATAACTAAAATTTTTGGAAATAAAACTCCTTTTGTTATAAAGTTTGGAACGAAGTGGAGGCAAAAAATGGGTGTTGCTGTTCGGACAACAAGAAGAAATACAACGACGCAGCAGCAGCAGCAACAACAAAATAGAAACAATTTTTTACAACAAAACACACAGGCAGGCAGGCAGCTAGCAGTCAAAGCAATAGCAGTGCCAAGTGTTGTTGTATTGTATAGTTGTTGATGTTTTAGCTGGGTTCTGTCATCTCCAAAAAGAAAAAGAAAAAACAATAAATACAAAGAATCTTTAAAGTTTACTGGTGTTTTTGTTGTAAATCTTGGTAAACATACAAAGAAAATTGTGAAATAATAAAAAAATATCGATTACAAATGCAAGTTATTAATAGCTGTCAATATCATTGACAAAGCAAAACAAATCAATGTAAAACCATAAAGTAAAAAGCAATAGAAACCACAAAAGAAAAAAATTACCCAGCTTATTCATACATGAGTGCTAACTCTTCATATATTTTTTGTAATTGTTTTTATATTGCATTTCTAAAGTGTCATTGATTCTAAAGTGTAAATCAACGATTTATATTTACATTACATTGTTTAAATTTACATTTGTGCTAATCCTTCGTTTTTGTTGTTTGTTTGTGTTTGATTTCATTAAAAAATAATTCAATGTCGCAATAACGTCGTCATGACTATCCTTGCTCATGAGTAGCACTTGAGTGGTAGCTACACAAAGAGAGATTTACAGAGAGTGCACATGAAAGAGATCGCGTCTTGTCATAAATTACGTCTTTTTGTTATGAGAGAAGTGAACAAAAACACATTTACATTAGATGTCAGTGTCCTTTGCTTTTACAAACAAATAAAACAAAACAAAAACCACAAACAAAATTAAGAATAATAAAAATAATAATAATTTTTCTACTGTTTGTTATTGTCTGAATGTGTAATGATTTATTTTTGTTTTTTTTTTCTTTTCCATTGTTTTGTGACTACACCAATAACAAAATTGTGTGTGTTTGTGCTTGCATTATTTTTGTCACCATAAGTTGTTGCTGGCCCGCCCGCCCCTTAACACCAACGTGTGTTAACCAGCTGTTTTTATAATTTTTACGCGCGCTTTAATTTCCCATTTGACATTATAAACAACAACAAAAACAACCAAGAACGGGCCATCAACAATAGCCGTCTCAAAAGCAGCGGCTGGGCCCCTCCATACAACTAACTACTTTGCACACACATAGAGATATTGGACACCCTACGGTGTAAATCTGATAGAGTGTGCCTTGGGCACATTCTAATTTCTATTGTGAAAAAATGCCGCCTGCACTTATGAATATTGCCGAATTTGTTGAAGAAACCCGAGATGATTACAATTCTCCGACAACATCAACATTTGCATCCCGCATGATGCCGGCATGCCGTCAAACAATAGCAGTATTGGAAGAGGTAAGTTTTTTTGTGTTTTATGCATAGATTTAAAAATTTTAAGAATGTTTTATGCATTTCAATTTATTTGTAGATTGAAATGACATTGAGGAATATATGATGATATACATGTATCAAATGTTCCTCGTATTTAGGCAAATGGAAAATTGTGGAGATATAATTTTCATAAACAAATAATTTTCACATTCGAAGACTCTTTTCAAGGTCACAGGAAAAATTCTAGAGGCAGAAAAATACGAGAATTTCAGGTATACCTCTTTGACCCTGTAACCGGCCTATTTATTTAGTAACTTCTTTTAAAAAAGTATTCTGGCGCTAATAAATTTTAATCAATCGAGAAATTTGCACTCCCTGTTTATTCTGGCAAGAGAATCATATCATCATATCTTAACTGATATTTGCCGTTAGAACTTTTTTTAATAAATAATTCTGCATTGCATATTTACTGCACACCGTCTAAAGGCGGGCTTGCCGGCTACAGGGTTAAGTCAAAATTGACTACCAAAAAAGGCAAAATTTAATTTGGTAGCAGTTCCCTTTTTTACACAAAAAAAACCAACTTGACATGCCTGATATACCCATATGTGTCTCCCCTTTAACAATATAATCTTGGTGGCAAAATCGATCGGTTCAAAACATGAAATAAGAAATTTCGTATTAAAATTAAAGAAATTGTACATAATACTGAATATCTCTCAGTCTCAGTTTAAGGCCCGGGGTTCATTACATGGATATAGACATTTAAAAAGATACATTTGAAAATAGTTACAGCTAGTAGTTTTTTTTTGATGCTGATTACTTACTTAGCTGGCGTGTGACAGAAAATTTGTTCCATAAGACAAGCTTAAAAAAGATTTCCAGGCGCGTCGGTTTTGTGCACAGCTCTTCCAATTTGAAAGCCATTGTTCCGATATGTGGCCTTCCCCTTCATCATGAGCCATCAGACCATAGTAGTATCTGTGCCAGCACTATTCTTTTCGGGATTTCAAAGCTCATGTTATTAGTTGTATTTATCACACACTTCGGCAGGCTCCTTCTCAATTTGTTGAAAGGTGGCTGTTAACGCTCGCAATCTTCGGCCCATTACGTCGATGTCGTCGGCGTAGGCAAGTAACATGTATTGTTTGGTGCACAGAGTGCCATTTCTGTTCACCTTTGCCTCTCGTATGACCTTTTCCAGCAGGATGTTAAAAAGGTCACACGACAAGCTGTCACCTTGTCTGAATCCTCGTTCATTATTAAAGGTATCCTTTCATTTTCATTTCATTTGCCTGATATTGGATTTTGAAATATTGAAAATTGTGACGCTTTTTGGGGGATGTATCAGAAGGAGAGGACCAATGGGTCAGATCATCGGACTTGATCTAGGCTTGTTAAAGATAATAGTTTGTGCAAAATTTGGTTCAACTTGGATAATATTTTTTTTGTGTAGGAGGTACCAGAAATAGTGGATTCAGTGGAACTAAGTTTGGAGGAAAAATGACGATGTGCAAAGTTTGGATGAAATCGGTTACTCCCAGCCGTCCAGACAGACGGACATTTGTAAATCGACTCCAAATTATCGGAAACGAATTTGGTGTAAAGAAACATGGTGTCTAAAGCAAATATTTCGATGAGGCACATTTTAGCCATATCAGAAATTTTTTAAGTTGTCGATCAAGTCAAGTATAATTGGAAAATTTATCGAGACTTCCAGATATCAAGAGAGCTACCTTAATATAGTCAGTATGCAGCCTGGAAACCGCAAGATCACTCGTACACCACAGAGTTCTTCGGTTCTTTCAGGCGAACATTTGTTTGTTATTTTTTTCTATTGGCATATCATTAAAATGTTTAGTAAAATTCTGTAAAAAAGGGTGTTGTTAGACATGGGACAGTGACATAATATTTTCATGCAATGCTTTATTTTGTTAGACTGCGCCACTTGAACGTCCATCTATTGTGCAGTTTTTACTCTACATTCTTCTGTTTTCATCCTTTGGCAGAATTTTACATTATGTACTGCTCTTCTGTTTAATAATTGCTGTATTTGTTTAATATATTGATGCATTTAATTAATATCCTTGATATTTATTATAAAATTATCCCTAATATTTAAATATCAAGTTTACTTCTTCGCATTACATTAAGAAAATCAGCTGTTTCCTTACGAGACTACGGCAGCTGATCATCATCAACATTGTTTTTTTTTTGTATTTTGCGCTTATAAACACTACTTCTGATTTGAAAGGCCGATAAACAAGACCATGCAATACACCTGTTTTGTCTTGTTGTTTTCATTTTTTTTAATAAACACTCGACACAAACTCGCACACACACAATCATACATACTTAGAAAGTCATAACAATGAGGATATTTTTGTGTACTTAACTTTTCCCTTTTATCAAAATGTGTGTGAAAATAAATTCGAATTTTTTTTAGCGAAGACGCACACCACCTTTGGTGTTGCGGCCAGTATAACAGTTTTGGTACACAGTATAACATAATTAAATTCGTATTTAGAACACATAAATGCTATACAATTAGTAATAAATTGATGTATGTATAAGAAAAAATGATAAAAAAATATTATTTTTATAATTTTTATTGGAGTATTTAACTAACTACAATCACAAAAAAATGTAAAGATGGTGCAGTAAGTGTGGAAAGAAATAAAGAATCTGGAAGTAAAAAGTCGAGGTACACTGTGCGAAAACGGGTGAGAGTGAGTCACCTTTCCATATACCGTTGGAAAGGACATTAAAAGGACTTTCAGAAAATGTATTGGGTATAGCCCTAAATATATTAGAAATATCCATATACGGTCCTTTTAGTAAAATATTTAAGAAAAAAATGCATAGTAAAATGTTGGGGCCCACTGTGCGAAAACGGGTGAGAGTGAGTCACCTTTCCATACGGTATATGGAAAGGTGACTCACTCTCACCCGTTTTCGCACAGTGGGCCCCAACATTTTACTATGCATTTTTTCTTAAAAATTTTACTAAAAGGACCGTATATGGATATTTCTAATATATTTAGGGCTATACCCAATACATTTTCTGAAAGTCCTTTTAATGTCCTTTCCAACGGTATATGGAAAGGTGACTCACTCTCACCCGTTTTCGCACAGTGGGCCCCAACATTTTACTATGCATTTTTTTCTTAAATATTTTACTAAAAGGACCGTATATGGATATTTCTAATATATTTAGGGCTATACCCAATACATTTTCTGAAAGTCCTTTTAATGTCCTTTCCAACGGTATATGGAAAGGTGACTCACTCTCACCCGTTTTCGCACAGTGGGCCCCAACATTTTACTATGCATTTTTTTCTTAAATATTTTACTAAGAGGACCGTATATGGATATTTCTAATATATTTAGGGCTATACCCAATACATTTTCTGAAAGTCCTTTTAATGTCCTTTCCAACGGTATATGGAAAGGTGACTCACTCTCACCCGTTTTCGCACAGTGGACCTCGACTTTTTACTTCCAGATTCTTTATTTCTTTCCACACTTACTGCACCATCTTTACATTTTTCTGTGATTGTAGTTAGTTAAATACTCCAATAAAAAATTATAAAAATAATATTTTTTTATCATGTTTTCTTATACATACATCAATTTATTAGTAATTGTATAGCATTTATGTGTTCTAAATACGAATTTAATTATGTTATACTGTGTACCAAAACTGTTATACTGGCCGCACCACCAAAGGTGGTGTGCGTCTTCGCTAAAAAAAATTCGAATTTATTTTCACACACATTTTATCAAAAGGTCTTGATGGGCCTCTCTCTTCTTCGGTGGTACTCTTAACGGAGCAGGTGATTTAATAAACAATGTACTGTGCTGTTGATGGGTTAGTGAGAGCTTACACGAGAAGGAGAAAGTAATTGAGACTTATTAAAACACAACGTACGACGTGTGTGTGTGTTATTATGCGAGAAAAGAGTGTTTGAAATTACATTGACAATAAATGAATGGCCTGTTGATTTGTTGTTGTTTAGCTTGGGTCAATTAACAAATTGACTTTTGGCAATATTATTTGCTAACTAATATTCACAATTGTATAACAAATATAACAATTATTCATTGGAGGGAAATTGATTTTTATATATTTTTCTTAATAAAACATTTCTTTTAACGTTGGAACAGGTGATGAAATAATCAGAGATATAGGGTGATAGGACGGGGAGGGAGGGTAACAAAAAACTCAACAAACAATGAGTGACTGACTGACTGACTGCCTGTTGACATTTTTTCCTTGGGTCAATTAATAAATTGACTTATGGCAATTTTGTTTTTTCTTCTTCTTAATAATATTTTATTTTTTTATTTTAATTTACTTGTTAATATTTTTGTAATTGTAGTGTGGTTATATTGTATTTTATTTTCTAACAACAAATGTGGTGGTGACATCAAGGCTATTTTGTATTTATGCACTTATATAGATATGTGTGCACAGCTTCATATTCGCAGTTATTATTGGGGGAACTACAACAAAAAAGCAATGTAGTCAATTTGCTAATTTGAACAATATACAACGTTAAGTATGAATGTAAACTGGTGTTTTTTTATTATTTGATTACAATAGAATTTCAAAGCTTTGATATTGAGGTATAATAGGGTTGGTCATTTGTGTTTCTCAGCCAAAGAAATATTTTTGAAAATTGAGGGGTTGCTGCTGCTAAGATCGATATGTGCCAGAAGTCGGGGTTTTTTTTACTAAATCTCAAATAACTAATGTCTAAACTCTAGGGCAACGGCGGATTCTATTTTGATGAATTCTCCAGAGGACTTAGGATTTCCAGATGATAATAATTAGTTAAGCTTTATTTTATATCTTCCTGGCCTGTTGTACTGTTAGAAGTGTATTTTACCCTAACCCAACCTAAAGGTATAGTGTATTATAGATAAATTAAGTATGAATAATATAATGTTCATAAAAGTATAACCTTAAAATTCAGAATGGAATTGCATGATCGTCGGTAATCGTGGTTGAAGTCAGATTT